TGCAGCTCACATGCTTGCAGTGTTCATACAGTGTTTCTGCTGCAACTCAGCTTCAGAGCTCCCTACTGCTGTAACTATTGTATTTCCACAACCTATCTCCACTCATTTATGGAGCCATGAAAGCCATGGAGTTGAACTTTTTCACTGTTACACCAGCCTGCTTGTTCTGTGTTTTGCAAGTGGACAGTAAAGACTAAGACAAACTGTCCCTTTGTCTGTGGTGTTGCAATCAAGACACTGTTACAGCTGCAGCTAAAAAACCTCTCACAGCAGTACAGCTGGCACGCCAAAGCATCCCACAGCGCTTTAAGATGGCACCGTTAATATTTTGTCCCCATCCAGGTGTGATATCTTAGGATTATCAACTCGCTGAATGTGTTTCTGTTAGTAGTACTGGATCACTTAATTGGCCTAAAAGGTTCTGCACTAAGCTGGTTTAAATCTTATTTATCTGATCGTTTTCAGTTTGTTCACGTTCATAATGAATCATCCTTACGAACTAAAGTTTGTTTTGGAGTTCCACAAGGTTCTGTGCTCGGACCAATCCTATTTACTCTATATATGCTTCCTTTAGGTAACATCATTAGAAATGTTAAAAAAAGTTATTGTTCTTGGCCCCAAACAACTCAGAGACTCTTTATCTGATGACATAGTTTCTCTAGATGGCATTGCTCTGGCCTCTAGCACTACCTTAAGAAACCTCGGAGTAACATTTGATCAAGATTTGTCTTTTAATTCTTATTTAAAACAAGTCACGTACTTGACCAAAAAATACTGATTAAAAGAATACAGCAATCCTTTTAAATTTGAAGTCTAGAATAATTGATTGAATTAGTCGTTAGATTAAACAACAAAAAACAAACAAACGTTAGATTAATCGATTTTAAAAAATAGCCGTTATGTGCAGCCCTATTCTACGACTTTACATTTAAGACACTGTAATTATGTTGCTGTAGTTCATGCACATCTGGTTCAGGTCTGTTTCAGATCTCTACTGTAAATGTGTTGTCAGCAGCCACAGAGCACACTGACCATTGTTTGACTGCTGTTCTGTCTTATTTTAATGAAGGAGAGCCAGCCAAGGAAAACGGCATCACAATAATCACACACACACAAACTAGACACTGCTATAGCGCTCCAGCCGTATGTAGGCTACCTTCCTGCCAAAGAGAAACCCTTAAACACAGACAGTCTCCCCGTCCATCTGTCACACAGCTCTCTGTCTTTTTTTTTTAATTTCACAGGAAGAGTGGGGGTGTTTTGGCTGCTCTGCCTGGCAGATAAAATACCTCATGGGTGTCAACGGCCTTTATAGTCCAGCTACGAGAGAACAGAAATTCAGTTTCAGTGACAGAGAGGAAGAGGAGGAGGAGCCAAACGGGAAAAGCATCCAGAGTGACGGAGGGTGAAGGAGATTGATGGGTTAGAAGATGTGGGCTGCTGGTGTCTGAGTGCAGAGACTGAAACTGATCTGAAGTGTCTTCTCAGTCACAGCTTTTAGTCTGTCGAGTGGAGTTCACCCGAACCTTGTACCGTCCTTTAGGTCATCTGGGTTCAGTATCACTGATTTACAACAAAGAAAATTGTCCTCACGACACCACAGGAGACAGACGGCTGCCTCTGTGGACAGGGATGATAAATGCAGGTCCGAGTCGATGTGAATTAAAAACTACTATCTCCTTTCACACGGGAAACAAACAGTGAGGTTGTGGGTAAGGTTTGTTTGACCTACCCAGCTCCACTCCCACCTGCCCTGTGCAGACTATCTCGCTCTTTATACCACAGTAGTTGTCAGCAATGTTACTGCCGCTGGACGGCAAGGTCTGTTATTACAAAGTACACAACTCTGTTATTTAAGTCAAAGTATAGATACTCCTGATCAAATATTACTCCAAAACAAGTGAAAGTTGCTGAGTCAAATTATTACTTAAAGGCTCTCTAAGTCTTCCTAAGCTTGAAAAGTTTTTGTCACATACAGCAAACATCTCCTCACGATCCGCTAGCTACATGTCCTCTGAATATGCTGTGAAAAAGTCCGGTCTCTGTAGGCAGCCCAGGCTCCGCACATGGCAACAAAGACATTTGAGTCCAGGCTGCACCAACCAGCCAGCGCGAGACCAGCGAAAGCAAGCACACACACGTGAACGTGGTGCCCAGAGAGGCAGTAAGAGCTACAGGCTACAATGAGGCTAAAGGCGAGCTAGCTTCATTGTGTTTGATAACATTGTTGAACGTAAACAGAAGTGAAGTGTTTTTGTTGCCATGTGCGGAGCCTGGGCTGCCTACAGAGACCGGACTTTTTCACAGCATATTCAGAGGACATGTAGCTAGCGGACCGTGAGGAGATGTTTGCTGTATGTGACAAAAACTTTTCAAGCTTAGGAAGAGCCTCTGCTCGTCGTCTCCTCTCGCTCTCCTCTCCAGGCCATCTAACCTCGTTGCTCTGTTCCTCAAATCTGCTGCAGCAGGTATATGTACTTTGTTCCAACTACTGTTCCAATTATTGTACCATTATTGAATGCATGATAAATGTACTATTGAACTGCATTGATTGGTTTGTCATCATTGTTTGCCAGCACACGTTTTTTCAGAACCTTTTTAAATCTTCCTCAGACATGAACTCATATTCCACAAGACACTCTGAGGACTTTCATCTTCCATATTGTCAGACTTCATCAATATACTGTAACACAGAGAACCATATCTTTGGAACAGCCTTCTTTCATCTCTACAACCAGGGACAGGCAGTATTTCTATTACTTATTTAAAATACGTATTTCAATTACATTTGAGTATTTTGTAATTTGTATTTGATAAGGCCGATATAAAGCAAATGGAATTTGTAACAAAATACTTTCTCCACGAAACAAAAATAATAGGCCACACATTCTTAATATATTGGATGTAAAAATAATTTTTACCTGTTTTTTTAAATATATTTTTATCTATATGTTTTTTTTAAACTTGGGCCATTCAATGTGCCCTTCAGTGACCTAGTGGTCTGTTTTACTGGACTGTGCATAACATAGGAAACTATGTTGTTGTGGTTGATGCTTGGGATGAGTATGCTACAAATGAATTGCCTCACGTGGGACCAGTAAAGTTGTCTGAATCTAAATCTGAATCAATAAATAATATTTTAGGGTAGCCTACACCAAACTGTGAGAAAACAAGCGCAAATTTGCAACAGCTGCGACCAAATTTGCTACTATCACGCCATTAATGGATGAATCATGGTTGTTCTTTCTGGCATAGTTACTTGTGGTCTCTAATTGCAGCATGTCCATTTTGAACGTTTCTGGTCAAGGACTTTTTGAGTTATTCACAAAAAGATTTGAATCGGTTAGTATAGCGCCACCTATGGACAAATCGTGGGCATTCTTTCTGGTGTAGTTACGCATGGTCTCTAGTATCAGTATGCAAATTTTGAGTTATTCATGAAAAGCTTTGTGGACCAACCAACCGACCGACAGACAGAGTGACCTATAGAGCTGCGGGTCGCTGCTAAAAAGAAAAAGAAAAAAAGTATTTCCTGTATTTGAAAATACAAAATACATGTATTTTATTTTGAAACATTTATTTGAGGGGTATTTTGTATTTTGTATCAAAATACATTTTGATGTATTTTTGCCCATCTCTGTCTACGATCATCATCTGCATTATCATTATTCACAAAACATCTGTGCCCTAACGAGCCTCCCTCGGGCACCGCCTGTGAAAACTTCAACACATTCCTCCTTCAAACAGCTGGATTTACTGAAGTTTCTCACCAAAAGCTACATTTTACAAGATTACATTGAACACGTCATGAGAGCGTTACAATTTATTTCTGTCCAATACTCATTCTCACTGAATAGACCTTGAATGCTTCACAATGTAAATCAATGCAACCTCAGTGAGCTGTTCATTCTGCCACAGGCTGCTTCGAGGTAAGGATAAACACTCCTGTCAGTAGTGTAGTGTTAGCTGAGTGGGCACCAGAGAGCTTCTTTTGTTGACATGATAACGATACAGCTGTTTTGAGCAGGTAAAGTTTAAGGTAAGGAGCTGTGGAGGGGGCAGAAAAAAGGCCTCTGATATGTACTTATGTTGTTGTGGCCTTATGTCATATTTCAAAATAATAGTAGTAAGAAATAGTTAAAGATAAAATTTTGATTTTTTTCCTTCCCCTATTTGTGGCGCCCCCTATGAATGATGGCTTCCTTAGCATTCACCTATACTGCCCGTGCCACGGGCGGCACTGTCTGAAAAGGACACTGTGATTTGTTTTCTTTTGTTGTAAATTGTACATCTTTAACAATTTTGTTTTACTTTGTCATCTGGAACTATTGTTAAATTATGAATCTTTGCTTTTATCTTTTTATTTTCATGTATGACTGTTGTTATTCAATAGGGGAGGTATCTTTAATTTTTAATTCTAACCTTTTAATTTCTCTTTTCTGAATGTTCTATGTAGGTGCAACTAAACTGAACTAACACTGCTTTTGGCTCTTAACACACACACACACACACACACACACACACACACACATAACTTTCACATCTTCATTTCAGAAACTGATATTCTGTAAAGCAACTGACTGAGTGAGAGGGAAATTCTGATTTATGTTTTGGATTTTGCACAAAGCACTAAACACAAGTCCTGCTTTTGTGTTTTTGTGACTTATTCAAAGTGAGCTGTCTCTTTTTTTTACAGGCCTGTTAAATGTGTTTTTGTTCTCTGATGTTCTTACAGTCCGAGCAGCGGCCACCAGTAAGAGAGGAAAACCAGCACAGAGAGGAGGTGGAGATGGAGAGAGGTAAAAATAGAGGAGGAGGGGGGGTAGCACGGAGGTAGAGATGAAGGGAGGGGCAGGAAGCACCAGGGGAATACAGAGAGAGAGGGAGACAGAGAGAGGCTGCACTGAAAGAGGCTGATGTCATCTCTCTGAAGCAGCCAATCAGAGAGCAGCAGCGAGGGAAGGGAGGGAGGAGAGGCAGAGCTCAGAAGGGTGTGTTTTATGTACCACTGCAGCATCAGTGCAAAGACGACAGGAGAAAAGGCACGACTCAGTGGACAGGAGAGACAACATAAAGACACGGAGGAGAAGACGGAGACAGAGACGAGAGCCTGACGAGGAGGGACAGAGACAGAAGGATAAAAGGGAGACGGAGGGAGAGACGAGACACCTGCAGAGGTAAGATGACAACAATAGCATCCCACCGTGCTGCTGGTGTCTGGGTTTCCACGCATGAATGTGCCTCTATATCTAAGTGTGTGTGTGTGTGTGGGCAGGCGTGTGTGTCAGTGTGCACCAGATGTGGGCCGGAGGGTGTGATGATGATGTCTTACATAATAGGATGGCAGGTATGAACGACTGTGCTGGGCGTGCACTGAGATGTGTGTGTGCATAGTTCCCGTGCTGTCTGCTTCCACTGTCTGCATGTTTGACTCCAGAATACAGAAGACAAGAAATGACCATTCATGATTTTCGTGTGCAGACAAACAGGCTGTGTGAGGGGAAGTCAGTCTTCAGGGAGTGTCTGACTGACTTGATTCAGCTTTTCAATATCCGATACGTCATCTGCAGCAGCGTGCTTTTATTAATATTGAATGAAACGCAGCACTATACAACATTATAGTGTTCAATTATTCACCACTGGAGTATAGCTCGCTTCCTCTCATGCTAAAACTTGCAGGGCAGGTATGACTTGTTTCTTTTTCATCCTCATGTTGCAAATTAAATCATGGACATAAACAGCTCCATGTGCATTCTGGCTTCTCATGCTCACGTCACACTGACCTCCACCATCCCATCATCCCCCGCTGTCAGGAGATTTAATTAATGCTCTCATGTTTCGGGAGTTCAGAAAGTGAGAGTGGAGTGCCACAGGGCAGTGACTCGGACTTCCTCACCTGTCAGCCTTTATGATTTTATTTCAGGCTGCGTTATTCTGCCAGAATTAGTCCTTGAGGATTCCCCACATCTCTAACTGACATCTTCAAATGTCGACTGGTTTGTCGACCAGCAGTTTAACACCTGAATATTATCAGTTTATTGTCATGTGTGACAAAGAAAAGCATGAAGTCTTTACATTTTTAGAAGCCTGAAGCAGCTCGTTTTGGCATTTTTGCTTAAATAATGACTGAAGTGATTATTCAGGTGTCAACATAGTGACGTATTAAGTGCTTTGTTTAAAGGACAGAGAGGATTCATGTCACTTTGTCTCTTTCACTCCCTGCTGTGTCCGTCCCTTTCATACTTTCCACCAGGTTTCTGTTTGCCTGTTTACTCTTGAATTCCTCTTTTCACTCTTAGCAACGTCACAAACATTTCTGTTCCCCTGTCTGTCGTTTGCATTGTGGGGATTTTTCACCGTGAGTGGTTTGGCAGTGGACTGCCTTGAATTAGGCCAGAACCTGAGAGGAGGAGGAGGAGGAGGAGGAGGAGGAGGAAGACTGAGGGGAAGTTGATAAGCAGGGGAGGCGATATTAGTGTGTGAAAGACGAGCTGAAGCCGAGGTTTATCAAAGCTGGAGGAGGAAAGATTTAGTCCAGAAGAGAGTGAATCCAAAAAGAGTCAGTGTGGCAGAAGAGAGAGATGAAAAGAAAGTCTGGACTGGGAATAGGATGTGAGAGGAGGAGGAGGAGGAGGAGGAGGAGGGAAAGTTAGGATCGAAAGGCGTAGGAGGATTTTTTTGCCAAATCTCCTCCTCCTCCTCCTCCTCCTCCTCTCCCTCCTCCTCCTCCTCCTCTCATGCTTGGCAGTGGTCAAGTTGACTGAAACCATCTGGTGGGATTTTTAAATTAGTGTTTTTTCATACTTTACAAAGTCCAGACTGACGGACTAGAGGACACATACGCAGCCAACGATGACAAATTGACCACTTGCGTCATTTTTTTTAAACAATGGGTTTTTCATGTTACACAAAGGGAGACAAAAGCTAGCTAATTTAGCTAACGTTAACGCTCCTGTTAAATGGTGTGAAATGTGGATAAATTGCTGAAATCTTGCTCATAGACAAAAAGTCAGCATCTTCACCAGAGGTCTCAGTTGTAACACAATGCAAAGGATCCATACTGAAAATGTTCGTATGAACAAAAGCCAAAAATGGGGTGCGCCAAAAAATATTTGACATTTTGTACAATCAGGCTTCCACCTCACCGCGTTTACTGACATTTAAATCAACATAAATACTGCAGCGTTTGAGGTCTTTGATGATTCATTGTAGTGACCCTTTTTAAATTCAGGTGACTTTTTCCATCCAAAACATAAAGTGATATTGTTTTTAGAGACAACACTCTGACATCATGTTATCAGCTGGAGGTGCAGCTGCCTCTCCCCCACAGGGCTGTAGGCTCCATAGGAGTGTTAAAATGTGTTTGTCTTGTTGTGTTATTGGGAGCCAGAATAGAAGGAGTCATGGCTCAAAACCAGCCGCCACTGCCCGTCAACAAAAACAAAGACAACTATGGTTAAATGTGATAAGACCAAAGGACTGGACGGAGGCCATCATCAAAAATGCTCACATGTGCAGCGCACACTTCATATCAGGTTAGGGAAAAAGTATTTCCTGTTGTAGGGATGAATAAGGTTATGTGTATTAAGGGTTATCATGTCCACCTCATCAGAAACTGGGGAGGGATTAAGAGGAATATTGGATTTCTCTGCAACGCTAACTTTTTAGCACATTAGCTAACGTTAGCTTCCATAGCAAAGCAAATAGTGGATTTCTCTGGAACGCTAACTTTTTAGCACATTAGCTAATGTTAGCTTCCATAGAAGCAAATAGTGGATTTCCCTGTAACGTTAGCTCTTTATCACATTAGCTAACGTTAGCTTCCATAGCAAAGCAAATAGTGGATTTCTCTGGAACGCTTACTTTTAGCACATTAGCTAATGTTAGCTTCCACAGCAAAACAATGTTGGTCAGTGTTTACTTATTCCAGTAACACTGGCGGTCCCGGAGAGTGAGTGACCTGACATGGTACGTTGGTAAATTCAGTCTGACGCTCTACACTAAAATGAGAGCCCTGTTGGTGGAAGAAACGCAGCGTTATATTTCTACATGAATGAACCAAGTTATGGCTTATCCGAGAGGCAGTGCTCTGGATAACCCAACGCTACATTTAGACAGCGCTCCCAATTTACGAACGGTCCAATTTGTGTCAGAGTGCGCTTTGGCATTTGGACTGAATGTTTCCGAACGCACCACTCACATCATCTTCCTCCAGTGTCTAAAATAAGACAACAGAACTTGTTAGCTAGCGCTAGCTAATGTCTGTGAAGAACTGTTTTGCCTCCAGCTAAGCCCCGCCCACCATAAAACATCATACTGTTAACTAATAGTAAAAGGGTCTGTTCTGTTTATGGTTGCATGGAGAAAAATCATGTAACTGTTTTACAGAAAATGTTTAAACCCGCTTTGGAAATGATCTTGAACTAATAATAGAAAAATGTCAGACGTCCTCTCAGCTTCCTGTATCTGTACTGATATTTAACTGGAGCCTAAAGTCAGACTGTTGCTTTCTATCTGACTGTTTAAGTATCGCAGACGGACAGTCTGACCCCCTGGTATTTGTCTAGATTTGTACGATAGTGTTTGCAGTGAAAGGACAATATGAATTTCTCTTGTCCTGCCAGCTCTATAGAGTCAATAAAAGTCCCTAGAGGACGGTTGAGGATGCAGTTTGGAGCCAGACTGAGAGCTCAGAGCTCAGGACAGCGGGTTCAGATGGAGGTCTGGGCCCACAGATCCTGTCTCTCTGCCACTGCTTCTCGTTTCCTCTGTATTTCTCATTATGCTTTCTCTCATCCATCTTCATCCATCTCTCTCACGCCCTCGCTGGTTCCCCTCTGATCCATCTTTCCTTTTTTTGGCCCTTTTTTTCTCTTGTTTTTCCATTTTTCCTCCAAAGAATGAACATAATGAAGCCTTTGTGTCGAGAAATGAGAGGAATGCCCCTTACTCTCTTTTACCCCTCTTCTTCCTCTTCTTCTTCTTCTCAGTTCTCCTTCTTCATGTCTTCAACCCTTCTTCTCTTCTGTGTGTGTGTGTGTGTGTGTGTGTGTGTGTGGGTGTGTGTGTGTGTGTGTGTGTGGGTTGGGGGTGCATCCATTAGCTGGGATTAGAGACTGTAGGAGGGTCTTAACAGCCCCTCAGTGTTTGGGGTTTTAATCTCCTCAGAAACAGCTAATCTAACTTCAGTGGCTTTAACATGTACAGTGAACACACACGTTGGGACACACACACACACACACACACACACACACACACACACACACATATCCTCCGGCAAATATGCGACTTCTGCTTTTCTGGTCAGTGTGGTTGAACCCTGACAAGAGTCCATTCATGAAGCGACCTCAAACACAGAGGACACTTTATCAGCCAAATATCTGACCCACAGTACCATCAGTCACTCGGATGACACATAACCACATGGTGCACAATATATCTGACCATAATAATGAAGTACAGCAACTGAAATCTGACTCACACCATCAGAGGGATGAAGACTAACAAGTTGCAAATTGGTTTGATTGGGAGCGAATGATAATCCATATCTTTGTGAAACACCCAGATTGTGGTTCATTTGCAGTGAATCTGATCAGTATTTTTCTTCCAATAAAATTAAAACACTTGCACATAAAGCTGAGTCGATCAGTTTATCAGCATACTATTTATCTACAACTGCTTTGAGCATCATATTAGTCTTGTGTTTTGCAGCTGAGAACCAACTTTTTGAGTTCTAAACCAATTTCTTTTTGGTCGAAATGCTCTGAATGGTTCAAAATTTGGTGAAGGAATGAGTTCCACGTCACAGATCGACTTTCCACGTCCACATATGGCGTCCAAGGTACCCTGTTGGTTGTTGACGTTCTGGGATGCTGTGTCAACTTCAGCCTGTTACATGCATTGTCTGTTTCCAAAATACACTTCTGTTTTCACAGGAAATGTACAGTTTGCATACAGTCTCTTTCAAAATAAAAGCACTACATTGGTACAACACTGCAAATTGATGTTTTGTTCCCTTAACAAACACGAGGGGTTGGGTTTAGAATCTTAGTGGAAACAAACACCGGCCTCCTGGGTGAAAGTCAGTGATTGTTGGACCCATCCACCACCTCTTTCACCCGCCCTTCTCTGACTTTTGACCCTTTAACTTATGTTGTTGTCCTGCTGCTTTTCGCCT